CAAAACCCCCGATTTAGCGTGACCCTGCTTGTTTCGCCATGACATTTTATGGACCTCAACAATCGCGTTATAACGAGCTACACTGTATTTTTATTATTCTCCTTACTGAAACAAATTTCTTAGCAAACAAGGAAATAACGTAACACTAGTATGAGCAGTAAGAACAACGATATCACAATCTACAAAACATTCCCAGGCTTCTGAATAGTTGGAAACTATTTCTAAACACAAAGTGTAGCATTTACCGATATATTTATACAAAACTTCTAAAAGGAGAGAAATGTACCCCACAAAAATGATTGGCAAATTGTTTACATTGCTTTGATGCTTAGCTAACCCCCTTTAGAAGAGGTTTTTATGAGGAGGGCATAACTTTTTAAAGCTGAGATACTCTTCTGTTTATGAGGACCTTGATGGTACAAGTGAGATCAATCATTAAATTAACAGCTCTGCTTATATCGCCTCTAGTATACTTTTAGTTCTACACAGCTTAATGGGAGAAACAAAATCACTAGCACAGCAACCACAGAAGAAAAAAAAGAAGATAAAATGCTGAGTATAAAATTCAGATACTAAAAACAAATGTTAATATTTTATGGATCTTTATTCATAAAATGAACTAAATAACAATTATATAATGTTCTAATACTTTTTTCATAATTATCTGGCATAAATTTATTGAAATAAATTACAATTAGATTTTTAAAATTTGGATACAGTCATAGTGTTGCCTCGGAGTAACGTCACTAGTGAAAACAAGAGATAAAACTGAACCCTTTATAATTAATGCTTTAAACCTATTCTTCAACACAACACAGTACTGTTACTGGTCTTTACACACATTTGGTATTAAAATAACAGTGGATCTTTTCAACAATCTAAAAATTTTTTGAAATGATCATTCTAACATCCAAACTCACTGTCTAATTTTCAAATTAAATTAATACTATTAACAATAATTATGAAAAAAAGCAGTTAATTTTACTAAATCATCTGAACCTTTATGTTTACTTATTAATTCCTAGTTGAAAATATACAATCAAGAAATGTTAAGAGTTAAGGTCAGTGTATTTCAACTTTTTTCCTTATCAAGAAGTATTTCGTTTCTATTCATTATCTATTATTTAACCTTCAATATTTAATTTAGTTATCATTGATCAGAATTTCTTATACAACCAGTTCCATGTAATAATTATTTCGAGATTGGTTAAGTAGTTGTTTCCTTGATTGTGAAAAGTCATGCAGCTTGAGATTTTTTGTTTTTAACTAAACAATTTGAAAAAATTCCACTAATTATTGACTAATTTTTCCGTATTTTTTCAAAGAATGAATACGGTATTAAAATGATTTAAACTTCAGCATAATATCTGAGTGATGGAAAGATTTGACAAACTGAGACTATAAAATGTACATCCTAATTGCAAATAAATCATACATCGTGTGAATTACTTTCATCCCTCAAAAGAATTAATTAATTACCAAACATACAAGTACATACTAATATGGTTTATCCTGCTAAAGTAATGTGGGTGACATAGTGAATTAAACAATTTCTTTTTTAGAATATATATTAACAGTAACAAATCCATGAAAAAAATTATCATCACAAACTATTTTCTTAACAACATCTTGGATTATCAGTATTCTGACAAACAACAAAAGACATAACTTACATATTTTAGGTTAACTACGAAACTAACCATATTACAGATATAACGAATAGATCGTGATAACAGTAACAAACATTTCCAACATACCAGTGATGAATCAAGCCTAAAAAATGCCAGCTGACATGGTTGATTTAAAAGATTGGAGAAAAACACAAAAGCGTCGGAAGCTTCCATGTTAAGCAAGAGTGTTCCTGCTAAAAATGACATTCCTTGTACCTAAGAAAATATTTACTCTTTTTAGACACGTAGCACTTCAATTAAAAAAAATTACCGTCAAAACCCATAACTTAAATACTCCACAGTTGAAACAAATGATAACAAGGAATTTAATTGTTCAAAATGTAAAGTATTATCCAGCCATTGTAAGTAGCATTTATTTTTGAAAGGGAAATGTCAAATATGTGGTAACCTGACAACGTTATTATTATCACAAATGATTTTCTACTTCAGAAATGTATTTAGAACCTTAGTAACATTACTAATTCTGGTTTATTACCATAATAGCAACATAATACACTTATATATATATATATATATATGAACACACAAACACACATATTATATTTCTTCTTCTCCACAGCTACATTACATCTAATATAACCTCATGAACAAATCATTCCTGATTCAGTTGTAATAATCAGTACAAATCAATATTTTTTTTTCAATCTGGTAAACTGTGTTTTGTAAAAGAGCACATGACAACAGCAAGTTTTAAAAAAGTCTGTCTGAACTGTCCCCCCCCCCGAAAATCACATATAAAATCAATCCAGGAGTGGAAATACAGCAAAATAGCCAAGACTGAAAGCTGTTGAGCATAAAATTTATAGCAGTTTGTACTACGGTTCTACCACAAACACAAAACAAATGAATATACAAGCTAAAGAAACAAACATACACTATGCACAATAATTTAAAAAAAAAAGCTTTTAATTGTACGAAAAAAGTGCAAATACAAGTTAAAAAAATTCCCCGAACAAAACAAAACAAAAAAACACAAGAGCCTTCTTCTCCTATTGTCTTTAAACCCAAACTAAAAAGTCTCTATTAAGGCCCTTTGCAAATTATGTGCAAATACATCTAGGATCAGTAATAAGTATTTCTTAAAAAAAAAAGTCATGGGTGTCTGGAACAAACTGCCCAGTCACGTTGAAGCCGAGTCTCTGGAATCCTTCAAGAAACAACTTAATGAAATTCTTGGATCAACAACCAAATGGCCTTCTCTCATTTGTAAACTTTTTTTTTATGTTCTTAGTTGGCAATCTTAATATAGTGCATAACTGAGGTTATCCTTGGCTATATAGTAAGTCCCCAGCACCGGGTGAAAGTAACCTTGCTTACTCAGTACTTCTTTTCCCGAACTTCTCACTTGAACTTCTTGCAGTGGTATCTGACAAATTGACAGTGGAGTCTTCTTTTCTCTTGTATATTTCTTTCACTATTTTTCTGGACTTCAGTACTGCATTTAGCACAACAGCTTTGGTTTCTGAATTTCCTTTTCTTTTTCTTGGCCTCTTGATTGGACTTTGTAGGCACCTGAAAAGGTTTGGTTACTTAGCTGTTCCGAGATGAATTTGACATGCTGTTCATCTTTTGATTACCAAGGACCTTTTTGTCATTGCCTCCATATTTCAGCAATTACAAACAATACAAAAAACAATGCCATTTACTTTTCACAGATTTATCAACGAGGGATACATCATCTCTGCATTTCAAGAAAACTGGCATGAAGAAATGTCCATCATACAGCCGTGCAGTCAACAATAATATTAGTATAAAAAAAGGACAATATAAGTGAATTAACAGAAATGATGTTCCCCATAAGTTGAGGTATTACAAGACTACAAAATATTATTTTTATATAATTAGTGTATATAGTATTACAAATAATGTCCCTCTTAATTTTTAATGGTTCTCCTAAAATCCCTAACATGAAAAATTACCTGTAAACAGAAAACTTCAAACTTTGTAAAACTGCAATTGGGATTTTAATATTTAGATTTTTTTGGGTTGCAAAATTCATTAACATTAATTTAGGTTAAAATAATGAAAAAAAGTTAAATTTCTAACTTTTTTGATTTTTGTCCCACACACTTGAAATTTTCATTTGAGAAGGTATAAATATCTATATCTTCCTACTTCCTATAAAGCATAGCTGAAAATCTAAAGTCTTTGTAAATGTTTGTTACTTATTTCTAACTCAGTTAGTGTGGAAATAATAAATATTTAATGTTTGGTGCAAAAAAAAACTATAATTCAACTGCATTTTTTTAATTTTACAATTTATAAACTTCTAAAGTTAAAACAATCACGAATAAATAAAAGCTGAAATCACTTTATTTGTTGCAATATACTTAACATAGAGCTTTCTTTGTTCTTATTATTTGTTTGTAATTAAGCACAACGCAACACAATGAACTATCTGTGCTCTGCCCACCAAGGGTAAGTCTGCAGACATACCGCTATGCCACCTGGGGGGATTGTTCTTAAATGGATAAGTTTTTAATTATCTATTTATTATGTCTGAATGCTTTCTTGATTACATGCCTTCAAATAATATACATCAACGTTTTTCATAAGCTATGTAAGGGTAACTGTTTGTTTGTTGTTAACCACAAACATACACAATGGGCTATCTGTGCTCT